CCTCAGCATTCCCCCGGAGGAGCTGGAGGAAGTGTCTGGAGAGAGGGAGGTCTGGGCATCTTTGCTTAGACTGCTGCCCCCGCGACCCGGCCTCGGATAAGCGGAAGAAAATGGATGGATGGATGGATGTAGCCGTTTCTATCTAGCTGTACTTGATGTGTAGCAAACTGCTCAAATTGCTCCAAGGATGGCTGCAAAATGTCAACATCCCAAAGGGAAAACATTCCTTCCAGAGAATGGGGAAGACTGTGGCTTAAGCAACAAAAAGGGACTGGGGTTCTTCTGGCCTCAGTAGTGATGAGAGCTTGTACAGTGCACATTTCATTTCTGTTGACTGTTTCTACCTAAAGTTTGCTAGTTATTCTCAAATTAAAAGATGCCCAAAAGCTCGGCAAAACTAAAGGAACTGCAGTATTATTCAAAGGAAACCAGCAAAGCAACCTAAGGTTTACAGCATTACCCTGCCAAATAAGCTCAGAGTAGCTTCCTTCCAACTACCTAATGTATGCTGTTGATTTTGACTGGTGTTTGCACTGGACTCACTGGGAGCTGTGGTCCTGAACCCTCTATGTACGTTACTGACAATTGTTTTACCTTCTTTTCTCTGAGCTTTTTGACCATGGCTTTGTTTGTTTTTTTATGGCACAGAGCTTTTTAATTATCAAAACGGACTGATCATGTTATAAAAGGACGGGTGACAACTCTACTAATATGATTGTTACCCAAAGATACTAAAAGTTATATTGAACTGAGCACAACTCTGACATACAGTACAACATAAAGCCTGGTAACTGTCATATCCTTTAAAATTATGTGATTAGTTAATCTTGTTGTTACATTAAATATGCCTGTATTATCATAAATGTGGGAAAGTGTTATGAATAACACTTCTTTTGTTTTTATGTAGGCTCTCTCTATCGACAGGAAACCTGCTATACTACACAAGTCATGGCGAAGTTTAGAAAAATCTAAAATCCTGTACAGTAGCTTATACTGATGTAGGCTCAAACAGAATCAGTGGATTTAACATTACTTTTCAGTGAAATATAGAAATTCCAAAGTATTGCAGGTTAAAAAGGAAAAAGAAGAAAATCCTGTGAGGCAGGGTAAATGAAACGCTCAGAGAGGAATGACATGGATTCTTTGGAGAGGTTATGAAGAAGTGAGGTAACACTTACATGCCGTCAGCCGTCTCTGGTCTAAAAACAAAACAAACAAACGCACAGACACTTAGCATGCTGCCATGAACCATGCATTAGCTTTTAAGAGTGTGCTGGTGATTACTGACGGCTGCAGCAGGCAGATTAGGAGTCAGATGGTGTCTCAGTTAGTGCCGTCAGACTGGACACTACTGATACTGATGGCCAGTTAGTGGGGGTTAGTGCTGGTTTGTTTGGGACAGGAAAGGGTTTAAATCTGTAGGTCAGTCACTGCAGACTTTGACCTGTGAACTGCAGGTTCCTCCACTGTTCCACAGTGAATAAGGTGCTCAGAGGTGGAACAGCAACATCAGGCTACTACTGGGCATTTCAGAAACATGAACACAATAGTACTGTGTGCACTGAACTGACAAACTCACTTGGTAAGCTGTCCCTTGTTCTTATTGTTCTCCACACCACTGTAGGTGACTGCAGCTAGTTTCTTGCTGCGGTAATTTTCATAGTGAACATTATTTGTTACATCTTTCAGGTCCTGCATGTGGGTCCTGGAAAACAAAACAAATTAACATGAGTGTTAGTAAATAAGCACATTTACTCACACTTGGGTGAAGGTGAAGTTTTTGTGTACTTTTTTAAATCAATACCTTTGACTGAACAGATTTTTATGTAGTGTATTGTACTTGTCCTTTTCTCCATTACACCATGTGTCATTCACCAAATATTTTTGTCTAGCTTCCCTTCATTATAGTTCTGCCTGCAGTTTTGTGCAGGTTCCTTATTTACAATTCATCAATAACTCACATTGAGAATTATGGATCACCGTACACGCAGCAGTAGTATGCCCTTTTAAAATACCTTTTACAAAATACTATATTGAATTTCTGTGAATAAAGACATTTACAAGGGAAATCGACAAATAGAATAAATAAACATACAATTCTACAACCAACCTTTCAAATGTTGTTAGCAAACAGAATAAAAACAAAGATTAGAGTGAAGTAAAACATAAAAGTAGATACTGCAATATTAAATGATTAACTCCTGTTCCCTTAGAAGGAGCTGGAGGTCTTTTACTGGAGTGACATACAGTGGATTTTAGTTAATACAGGTCAGTGAGGATGTGTTTTTACTCACCTGATCAGCATGTTCCGGAGAATTGTGAAGTCACAGTGCTCTCCGTTTTCCACTGGGAAAACAGACAAACAGGGCACAGTTTAGATGATATGGAGTGATTATAATGACATGCGCGATCACTGCAGAGGTGATGACTACAACAAAATAAAACAGAGAATGGCAAAGTATGTAGAGTGATGCAGTTGACTATTTATATCAATGTGTTAAAAAATAAAAAAAGACAATTAGTAAAAACTTTTTTTTTTCCTCAAAGCTCTCTGGCCATTGGGTTTATTAGGTATAATAAGAGTGTTTTCACCAGAGCAATTGCTAAGATCTCTGAATGCACTAAAAAGGCCTAACAAATATAAACAGATGATCAGACGAACCAACAGTTTATCCAGTTTACCTAGACTACTTTATTTGGAGGTCAAATTTAAAATGAGTGTGCCCATTATACTGTAACAATCTCAGTGTAAAGAAAAACTATGTATGACAAGACAAGGAAGAACAGGAAGTTGGTCGGATGGGTAATAATTTGTTTTCTCCTCCAAATAAGTTTGACTGGGGTTTGTTTACAACATATCTGATCACCTGAAAGCTCGTCTGTCTTGCCCTTTTGGACCATTGCACTCTTTTCAGTGATGTTGCCACCTTCTGAGCTCCCAGCAATAACCTTGGTGAATAGTGTTAAGCTCAAAAGAAATAAAGGCCAGACCAACAAAAATAAATCCCAAGAGTAAAATAACAGAAAATAGTGCAACAAGAATGTCTCATAATGAGAGAAAAAAAGTAAAAGAACACTGCAAATGTTCAATGTAGTTTCATATGTCCTTAGACACACACACACACACACACACACACACACTGAAGAACCGAATTATTTTTCAGCTCTTTGACATTGGCTCACATTTCATTTTTTATTTCCTATTTTCCTCATTCAGCATTTCCAACTTCCTCACCACATTTTCAAGTTCCCTTATTTTTAAGATGAATTATTTAACTAAAGCATTTAAAGCCCTTAAAATGTAATAACTGGTCTCAAGACTGTCAGGCTTTTCATGGCCCTGCATACACACTACAACAGCATGAGTGCAGATGGTTTCAGTACCAGAAACCATCAGAAGGTGGTGCTGTGTCCTGCTCTGTGGGTCCCCTCCTACAGTCACGCTCTCCACTGTCCTCTGAGGTTTCTCTGAACTGCTGTGGTAAGAGTGACTTGTATAGCCTCCCAGAGGCCTGCCCTCTTTCTCTCTGCCCATGCTGACATGGAGCCAAAACATTTCTGGTATTCCAAAACTCACCAGGCTCAAGTGTAATCACCTGAGTCAAAGCAATTTATATGTAAAGGTTTAAGAGGAGAAAAACCTCAGGAAGAGCAACCAACAAGTAACAACAAAAGAATCTATATGATTTGGAAGGTCCCTTTCATTGCTTCCAACTCCTTTGTTATAGTAAATGCCATGTTTATACTGTGGCAGTGTCCTAATCACTTTAAGCTGTGCATGTTGTCACATTTCCATATGTCTCGCCACACTGTGACACAAACTTCCTGTGCTAGGTCAAATAGGACTCTTCATATCCTGTGCTGAAGAGAAAAATGTCTAGGCCCCAAGTCCAAATGGTTCGAGTATATACTGTAACTGTGTCTTTCTGCTTACTTGCATTTTCTTCACACATTGAAAAAAACTGTCTGTGTTGGTCATGACAAGTGGTTCATCTGGCAATAAAAGAAACAGGCGCTACTTGTCTCCAAGCCAATTCATACAAAATGCAACTGAAGCCTGTATTGACTGGTGCTATGTTTATTAGCAGATGTTTACCCTGAGGACTAATTTTATAACCTTGTTGTCAGCGGAGGTCTGTTTAAATTCAGTACTTGTCACTGAACCATATTGTGTGTATCTTACAAACTGGCTGAAGGACTTTGACCACTGTGCATCACACTTTATTCGTTACCGTTATTGTGTCGTCTTCAGAGCTTGAGGAACAAATGAAGACCCATCCAAGCCAATACAAAGCTTCCAGGCATCCAGAAGTGCAGGACGGTCCGAATCAAAAGGACAATCACAATAGATACAATCTGTCCGAATTCAATATATAATATGTAACAACCTCATGGAATTATTGGGTTTTGTGCTCCTCATGCAGATGCAATCTCTTTCTTGTCTACTAACACATTTATTAAAGTGTGCTCTGTGGATACTCAATAACACAATCATACTGTGTGCGTGTGTGTGTGTTTGTACAACCAGTGTCAGTGAGTGTGGAAACTCAGTCTTTGAAAAGGTAGGGCTCCAGAGCAGAGACACCGACACACCCCAGACACGAAGGCCAACATCAAGGGGTCTCCATTCAGCCCTTAGTTCGATGTCTCGCTCCCAGCTGCGGTTCTCCACACTTTGAAACATTGCATGTGCTTATGTGACATGCGCCTGGTATTTAATCACCTTGTGGAGACTGAAACCTGTTTGCACACACACTTTCTGGGGCTTACACTTCCCTTTGGGGGACGAGATGCTGTGTTACTCACTGAATTTTAGGGTGATGACCTGGTTGGGAAAGGGTTAGGAAAGTAGTGGTTATGTTTAAGCTCATGTTAAGTCTCCAGGAAATGAATGTAAATCAATGTAAAGCCCCCACGAGGAATGAAAATAGACTGTGTATGGGTGAGTAGATGCTCAGTGACCAGATGAGAGCAAAGCAGGAGCACATGGATAGTGTTAGTGCTTTGCAAAGCATCCACACATAACCCAGTAAAACTGTAGCTATATCTGTGTTTACATGTATGTGTGAGACAGAGATTCCACTTGGTTGATCAGTTTACAGGTTCAGATCAGTTGACCTCTGACCTCTCACCTTCAGCCACACCCCAAGGGTACTGCCTCCCACGCACTCGCTTTCCATTGACCTCGATGATAGTGTTACTGCCAACTACAGCCAAGGGTAAATGATCCTGCAGCGAGGAGGGAAGGGACAACTGTCACATAGCTCACACATCATGGCTAAAAATACCCTGAGGGCTATGTACGATATAAACGAAAAGTCACTACATTTAAGAAACACAGCTGGCGATTTTCAGTTTGAGTAAAGTACCAAACTGGATCAATATTTGTCTGAAAACAGTCTCAACTAAAAATTATACTGTTGTTTTTATCTAAAGTTTAGCAGGGGGTTGCGTTCACAGAACAAACCTTGATTTTCCTGACCATCCTCATCTCCTCCTCGTCGTCTGTCTCTGGGAATTCATAGATTTTGATTTTGTGCTCCTGGATTTCTTTCATGATCTGTACACAGCAGAGATGAAACAGGGAAAGGCAGGTTAAAATGGAAAATCAACGTGGGAGCTAATTTAGTGGAGTGAGCTGCATGCGGAGCAAACAGGTCTGTAACATCAATAATCACACTGGAGGGTGACTGATACAGGCAGGGGGAGGAACCTACCCATTTATCCAGCGCGCACACACACTGGCTCAGTGTTCATTATCAAAAGTATGGGCAGTCTAGTTTATTGACAAACAACTGTACAAACTCATCACAATGACTATGACCAGGAACATGAACAGCAAACACTACGTGCAGTAAAGCAGACAGGATACAGATTGTGCTGTATAGCACCTATTCACTGAAAGGAAACCTGTTATTGCATCATCTAGCCACACTATCAGGAGTACAGACTGATAACCTCCTTCTAGAAACGGGCCCCAGGAGTACAGACTGATTAAAAAAACAAACAAAAAAACACCACACTGGAACAAATCATTAAAAGATGCTAAGCAGAAAAACATACATGAGGTCAGAAGTGATACCCACCTGTTTCTTGAACTGCTGACACTCCTCAGGAGTCATTGTGTCTGCTTTGGCGATGAGAGGAATGATATTTACTTTTTCATGTAACCATTTCATAAATTCAATATCAAGCGGCTTTAGTCTGAGGAAAAAAGTAGAGAAGAGAGAGTTTAGAGTGTCGATGAATGGCTCTTGGGAAAGTGGAGCTGGCACATCTGGACCGCCAAGACAACACTAAATCTCATCTGTGTGGACTCTTTCAAATGTCACTGTAATGTTTTATTGCTGGATGTGTGTGTGCTGCGGCCTGCCAGGACACTAACATAATGATCTATTTAGTATGTAGGTAATGAATCAAACCCACTTTGAATAGATGGGTGCTAAAAGTAAAAGAACCAAAAGAAAGGACATGACCACTTCAATTATTAATGCTGTGCATGGACCTTTTTTCCCCCAAATCTAACCATTTTATCAGGGAGATCCCACTGAGGGTTACAACCTCTTTTACAATAAGATTAGAACATAATCAAGTGCAGCAGTATAGCCAATATGAGGCCTATTCAAAACAACAAGGAGTTTGCGAGATTAAAAAACCCACAGAAACCTCAGTAAACATAAATCATACTATAAAAAGCAAAATAATGAGGGACCTTCATTCAAGCCAGACAGCACTGAAGTGATAATGAGCCCAAAAACACTCTGTAGTAACTAAACAACAAAACTGGCATTAATCTAAGAACTCACAGCATGGCCTAGTGAGTGAACACAACCAGGCCAGCTGTGTGCGTTTGCCTGACAGCAGCCAGTGCGAAGGCATAGCCAGGAGGAGGAAGGGGGTCTCCAGGTCAGTGAGCTCAGGACAAATTATCCCACTGTTATCTGTGCCTGGTAGGAGGCCACTAGCAGAGCAGTCTGGGTCAGGAATACTTAACCATTTGCCTGCTCAAAATGAGCCACTGAAACACAGCAGCTGAAAACAGATGTATTGCTTATTTCCCATGCGACTGAGTCCACAATGAGATGAGGGCAGAACCTCAAAGCAAATGGAATACTCAAGGCCAATACGTGGTTTTGCAATGCCCTTTGGAAGTAAAGGGACTTGACCTGACTCAGCAGCCTGGTAACTGGATCTGCTTAATAAATGCCAAACAATGAATTCTGGAAATAATGTAGGGTTTTTAAGTCAGGAACTTTATGTACAGACACTAGTCGACAAACAACTATTTAGATAATTGAATAATATAAATTTCCCTAAAGTAAAATTATAAACCTTCTTTGGTTTCAGCTCCCTGTGCCTGCGTGGGTTCTCTCCGGCTAAAGTCCAAAGACATGCAGCTTAGACTGATTGGTGGCTCTAAATTGCCTGTAGGTATCAGTGTGGGTGTCTGTATCCAAGTGTCAGCCCTGTGATTGACTGGTGACCTGTACAGGGTGGACCCCACCTTTTGCCCAGTGTCAGCTGGGATTGGCTCCAGCTCCCCTCCCCCAATACTTCCAGAAATTCCAAAGTCAGTAGAACCCTGTGGTACCTACCCATGTCCAGACGGGGCAATGAAATACAGGCAGCACTGCACTCTGTTGTCTGGCATCTGTCGTCTGTTGACCCGCGACTCTGCATTGAGGTAATCCTCAAATTTACTGTCGATGTAATCTGTGACCGACTGCCAGCTGAGGACCACACATTACTCACATCACTGTCAGGTACAGTGTCACAGTAATAGTGTATAGTAACTTACAAACCCCATTTCCAGAAAAGTTCATTTTCCAAAATGCAATAACAACTCAAACCTGTGACGTATTAATCTGCTTGAACCACGATTTAACTGACAAAGTACAACAAAAATGTTTTCAGTGTTTTCACTGACCAACTTAATTGTATTTTGTAAATATAAACAAATTTAGAATTTGATGGAAGCACAGTCAAAGCTGGGGCAGAAGCTAAATAAGAGTTTCAGCCTACATTTCAGCTTGTTTTTTGGGGGGAAACGGGTGGCGGGTTCTCTGTGCCAAAGACCATGCAGGCCGTTATCAGATAAAGTTGCAATGCCAGGATCTATGATGGTTTGGGGGTGCATCAATGCCCACAGCATGGGTGACCTGAATATGTGTGAAGGTACCATTGATGCAGAGGCATATATTGGGATTTTAGAGACATACACTGCCATGAAGGCAATGTTATTTCCCGGGAAGTCTGTGGATATTTCAGCAGGGCAATGCCAGGCCTCATTCTGCACATGCTGCTTCATTGACAGAGTGTGTGTGCTTGACTGGCCAGCCTGTAGTCCACATCTGTCTTCTATTGAAAATGTATGGCGCATCATGAAGAGGAGAATCAGACAACAGCGACCACAGAAGCCTTGTATCCAGCAACAATGAGCCAATATTCCATTTGCAAAACTAACAACTAGGATCCTTCAGTTCCCAAATGATTAAAAAGTGTCACTACAAGGAAAGGTGATGTAACACACTGGTGAACATGACTCTGTCCCAACTTTGAGTGTTGCAGGCACCAAATCCTAAATAGCAGATTTTAGTTCTGTGGAAATGGGGTTTGTACATTTGCCAGTGTCAGATGGCTGAGCTCACCAGTTACTGTTATCAACAGCATCACCAAAGCCGGGGGTGTCAACTATAGTGAGCAGAAGCTGCACTCCTCCTTCCTTTACCAGAACCTTTGACTGTTCCACCTGTAATGACCAAGAAATTACAGTCAGACATTTTCAAGCCTATGTGACACTTTTGAACCTGTTAAAAAACTATGCATGATTACTTCTTTACATGCTCAGTTTACATACTGCAAACAACTAAAACATCTCTTCAAAACTATTATTAACAACCAGCCAAACCTTTGCTGCCACCAAGTACACAACTTAAGACCTGTGTAGAGCCTTGTCCCAACAGAGACAGGGAGGAAGAGTGTGCTGCTGTGGATGAATGCAGTGAACCAAGTCGCCTCCAAACACTTCAGAATGAGGTCAGGGCAGAACTCGTGATTAGCAGATGAGCTTTGATTTAATCAGCAGATCTAAACCAGACCTTTTCTGCCATTCCCTCATATCAGAGACTCAGAACTTTCACAGCCTGGCAGAATGATGAGAAACAGTCAAAGAGGGTAACGCACATATCAGTTAGCAGACAAACATAAGCATTATAACTCCTACAGATACATAGTGCATCACCTTTGGCTGCAGTTCAAGTCTCATTTTACATCATTTTTTACCTCAGACACAAATTAGGATTGCTGTTACTGTTTGTGTAGTAAAGTTGTCAAACACTGAAAGGAGGCAGCTACAGTAGCCACAGCAGAGAGCATCACTATTCTATGAGTGGCAATGGGGGAATCGCCATTTACTGAGGAGAACAGTCAAAAGCTGTTCTTTCAGCTCCACTGAAAGAATCTCATCTTTGGTATAAAAGAAATTATATAAACAACAGACAACAAAATGCACAACTGTTACTTTAGGATCATTTCTAACACCATAAATTTGGTAAAAACATCTAATATCCAGTCTTTTCATTGTACTGTCATAACAGCTATAATGTTGCCAATTCTTGGCAGTGGCACTAACAACATTTAGTGGTTGAAGAAGGGTGCCTTTCAGGTTGAACCCGACTCCTAATGTTTGGCCATGCACCTGTGTGGACAGAGGTGTTACCTGTCTGCACTCTCCCCAGAGGAACAGTGTGATTTTGTGTGATGAATGCAATCATCATGATTGGTGTTTTACCAAAGCATCATCTTTGCTTTACTTTTTCAATTGAATTTCCAGAAAATGTACAAGACTACAAACAAAACTGATGAGTCCAGCTGGATATAATTAGAAAACCTGTGTAGTGCTAGTAGATTTTATTTAAACATCTATCCGTACAATACATGCGGGCATGTATTTAGCTGGGACAACAGTGTGTAACCCATAGACTGTATAAAAGATGGATGACATGACAGCTCTCAGAAGTGAAGCCACTTTGAGTCCATTGCTCTCTGGTGAATGGTTGCAGTATAGGTCATAAACTATACTGCCTTCACTTTAGTGGGTGAGAGATGTGAGCTAAACTAAAGATTCAAAGTACAAATCAAATCATCTTCCATTTTTATATACAGTCTATGATATAACCCAACTCTTCCTCTGTCCTGTCCACACCTGCTTGGCACAGGCTGGCTGTAGGTATGCTGTCCTTTAACAGTTGTTTCAACTGTTAGCCTGAACAATCTGCAACATGTAATTCCTGAGTAAATCCTTGGTCACAGAGGTTAACCCCTGTGGCCCCCACCCACCATTACTGGTGTGTGCGCCGTGTACCGTCTATCATTAAACTGACCTGACACCCTGGACCCCCTGCAGTATGCCTACCGGCCCAACAGGTCCACCTCAGATGCTATCACGGCTGCCCTCCACTATTCCCTTTCTCACCTGGAAAATGGAGACTCCTACATCAGGATACTCTTCATTGACTACAGCTCCACCTTCAACACAGTTGTCCCCCACAAACTCACCCACAAACTGTTCACACTAGGTCTGCACCCCACCCTCTGTGACAGGCTCCTGGAGTTTCTGTCTGACAGGCCCCAGACTGTCAGGATTGGCAACAGGATTTCAGCCAGCATTGTTACAAACACTGGCACCTCACAGGGATGTGTCCTCAGTCCCATCCTCTACACCCTGTTCACCCACGACTGTGTCACCTCCCACAAAGACAACATTATCCTAAAGTTTGCAGACGACACCACAGTGATAGGTCGCATCACTGGCGTGGACAAAGCAGCCTACAGGAGGGAGGTGGCCGGTCTGGTGTCATGGTGCAAGGACAATAATCTCAGTCTCAACATGGACAAGACAAAGGAGATGATAGTGGACATGAGGAAGGAGAGGAGATCTCATCAGCTGCTGTTCATCCGGGGCTCGAAGTGGAGAGGGTGAGCAGCTTCAAATTGTCATGATTCGGTTCTGTGTTGCTTCCTGTCATGCTTTTATTTTGATGCTACTTCCTGTTTTGTTGCGTTTGCTGGCTCTGACCTTGGACTGTGATACCGACCCGTAAGTGTGTTTTTTGTGCACAGTGTCTTGTCCTGGATTTTTGTTCAACGTTAGTGCTCTTATTAAAGAGACTGTTTTGTTTGACATATCCTCATCTGGCCATTTAATAGAGTTCACCACAACATTTTCGGCAGCATCACGCGCCGTTCCCAACGTGAAGTGTGGAATGGAATCATATTATTAATAATCTACTAGATAAAGAGAAGAAATATTTAAATGTAAAAGTATTTTGTGCACTGATCAGTTGTTCATAGTACTACTCTATACATGATACTTCAATGCAGAATAACACATGCAAATAAAACTAGACTGCAGCTTATTATCAATTATCGATTCATCTGCCCACTATTTTTTCAAGTAATCAATTGTTTCACTACAAAAATCCAAGAAACAGTGATAAAATCATCACATTTAAAGATGGAACCTGCAATTTTCTTTGTGTAAAAGTGAGCAATTTTCAGTTATCAAAATAGTTCATTTTTTACAAGCAACTGATTGAACTGATTGCTTATTTAATTAACTTGATCAACTTTCTGTTGAAGCTTTGAACACAATATGAGGAAAAAAAGGCAGTTACATCAGTTTGCACATGCATAATTGCACATTGACTGTTGACTGCTGCACATACAGCTCCCATGCAGCATCCTATTATATTCTTATATATTTTTATTCCTGCCTTAGATTTTGTGTTACTTATTTATCTACTTTATATTTCACTTGTATTGTGTGGCATTCATGTGGATGACAAAGTAAGAATTTCATTGTACAGGGAAACACGTTTCCTAACTGTGCATATGACAAACACTTTGACTGATGGGCTGCTACTGGAAGGCTGGGCTGACCAGACAGACACTAACAAATGACTATTCACAGTGTGTTCAAGTGCAATTAATATAATACAATATAGTTTAAATGTCTTTTTGAATGAAATATACTGTACAAATACATTTAACAACAAACTGATGTGAAAATGAGAGCTACTGTGGAGCCACTGGAACCCGCTGGGTCTGTATGACTGCTCCGGAGAAGATACTGCAATATTTTACATACCTGTAACTATGCAACTGTGAAAGAATAATTTCTGATCTTAGAAATGCAGATCAACAGTTTGATAGACAAGAACATGTCACACTTTTCATAGAATTGGATGAAATGCTCCATGTCTGAGATGGGCAAAATGGTACTATATAACAAAGTAGAAGTTAAACATCAGAGCGCTGGGTAGGGACCTGCAGTGTTTCTCTTCTACTTCATAACAGGATGAGACAAGCCACAGACATGCCCATTAAGCAGACTGGCTGACCAGTCCATGAGTTGACGGGACTGGCTACATCACAATAATATGAAATGCCAGTACTACTATCCCCAACAGCCTGTGACTAAATTACAGGACTGCAAGCTTACTTGACTGTAATATACTGTGAATGAATGTACAGTGGCTAAACACACTGTGAATGATAGAGTTAGAATGAACCACTACAGTTCTGACCTGTGGACATTTGCTCCTTTTCTCAGTCAGTTCAGCTGCAACCTAAATGGCTGCCAGACTAAACAATGCATTTCCTGTTGCAGTCTCTAGCTGTTAGACTCCCAGCTCAGAGTTCACCTTTGATTACCTTGAATCTGCATATCTGAATGACTGACCAATAGAGACACCGATGCACAGTGTTTGGACATGTAGAAGTCATTATTCGAACAATGTATCATGTTTAGTACGATATTACACTATCAGCTAAAAAGGTACAGGATCACACTTGCCGTTTGCTTTTGATCACTCGCTACGGTTAACATTTATTCATTACCACAGTAATAACTACTGTACATTGTCTTATATAGTGCCTTTCAATCCTTTGAAGCACACTGTACTTTTTGGGAATGAGTGCAAGGTGACTGCAAAACAAAACTAATGTGACCATACCCTAACAAAAGACAAAACCCAAATCTAAGATGGTCATGTTATATGACCCTGTACATGGGTCTGTTTATGTAAACAATATCCATAAAAGAACATCCAGCACTTTTCATCGGTCAAATGAGAATGAATCATTGTCAGATTCTGTTCCGTAACTAAAAAGAAAGTCTGAATTTTATTCATTTTAAAACACAATCGTTGCTACTGTACAACAGGAGTGGGTAGTAAAAATAACAGTATACACAAATTTTATACCTTTATCTAATTAGAACCTAAACAATACAGGACTTTGTGGCAAATACTGATGTTGATATCTGAGAGGTACAAAAACCCGATGAGAATGTACTAGACAAACATTTGGATCATTTTGTCAACCAAGAGTTGTTAACATGGTACAGTATGTAGTGAGGGGGACTTTTACAGAATAAAAATATTGTCAGTGTTCTCTGGTGGACAAACTATAGCATGTAATATATTACACTGGAATGCAATGTTTTAATTTTTTTATACAATAAATATGGTGATAGTTTCTCGGATGCTCAAATGAGAAACAAGAAAAACCATACCAGCTGATGAAAGTCATGAGATGCGCTTGATGCCTCTCAAAAAGGTAAAAAGTGGACCTCGAGCCACTATTGATTTAAATAACTTTTCATTTGTGCATGAAAGTTCTTGAAATAACCCTAATGGCAAATAGGATTAGCAAACTGTCCTGGCTGTACCCACCGCTCATAAATTG